TAAATTTTTCGACACACCAACTTGGTTTTTTCTCAAATAAATGATGGCGCAAAAGATGATATTGTTTCTCGATTAACTAGAGGTTTTGAGTATGAAAAATTCTTGGTAAATAGTATATCACTTCGAACAATGCTCTACACAATGCAAATCTTAAATTGTCGCGTTTTAATTCATATACTAAATTTCAAATTAAAAAAAAAAAAAAAAACATCATACAAAAATAAAATAAAATAAAATTATGTTAAGAGTTAACAAGTAGTAGAAAAAAATGCAAGAAAGAAGGTTAAAAATAGATGAGAAAAGGAAATGAAAGAAAGTGACATGTGGTCCCAGAACATACACTTGGCAGCCAAACAACCCCTCACACAACTGACAGTACTTGCGCCTCGCGCAGGATAAAATTTTTCATGTTTATGTACTTGTCATTTTATTTCTCGAGAAATAGAAACAAATTCTGAAGCAATTTACATTATGATGTTTCTCACTTTTGAGATATTTTTACCATTTTCAGAAATAACATTACAATTTTGATTTTTTATTTTTACCATCTTCAAGAGCGAAATTGAATTAATGTTGAGGTTATATTAAATTAGGAAAAATTATGTAATTACATGACTTAAAATAATATAATTTTTAAAATTTTCAATCATTTAAATTAATTATAAAAATCTCTTTTTCCTTCTCTCTCTTAACATTCAGATACTCTACTTCTATTAGATACATTATAACTTTGTTTGTATACAATGTATCTGGTACAAATATTATTGTTGATACATAACCCAATTATTTCAAATCTAAATCAGTATGAATTTGATTTATAGTTATGCATCTGATACATAACTTATATATCTGATACTCCCTTTCTCCCTTTTTACTTGGTACACCTAATAAGAAAATATTGATTGCTCTAGTGAGTTTATCATTTTATCCCTATTAATTGATAAGATTACAAATATCCTTACTCACTACATTTTTCAAAAAATATTAACTTAAAGTTAATAAATTGAGGGTATAATAAGTAAAAAAAAATTGTCATTTCTTAATTTGTCAAAAATGACAAATAAAAAGAATAAATTGAACAGGTAAAAGGGGATAATGGGAGTAAATAACTAAAGTATCATTTGATATGTGTTAGACGAATGAACAATTTATCCACAAGTTTTAAAAAATTCAAAATTATTATAATTTGAGAAATTTTTAAGATATGATTTAATTAGGGGCCATTTGGTTATGGGATAAACACAAAGCTAATACATGAATAACTATCATTATTCATATATAAATTTTATACCAGGTTCAGTTTGCAAATAGGATAAAGTTATTCACGTATTAGTTTTATACAATGTTTGGTTGGTAAGTTTTCGAATGTTTAGTTGTCATTTTATTTCTCAAGAATTTTGAAACAAATTTTGAAGCAATTTACATTATGATATTTCTCACTTTTGAGATATTTTTACCATTTTCAGAATGGCATTAAAAATATTTTTTTCTTTCTCTCTTAACATTTGGATACATAACTCTACTTTTATCAGATATATTATAACTTTATTTATCTTGTATAAATATTATTAATAATAAATAACCCCAATTATTTCAAAACTAAATCAATATGAATCTGGTTAAGAGTTATGCATACATAAATTGTATATATGATACTCCCTTTGTCCCTTTTTACTTGTCAAATTTTGATTTGGTACACCTATTAAAAAAATATGGCCAAAGTCATCTCCGACCCCTCAAAGTTGTCCTCATTATTCATTTAGACACATCAACTACACCTAGTACCTATTGAACACCTCTACCACCCCAAATTTGAACCGTCTAAGCATTTTTTGCCTACATGGCAAATCGTTTGTGATTCACGCAAATTGGACGCATGAATTGTTTTTTCTCCCATTTTTTACCCTGCATTTAAGACATCCAACGTTAAAATTTTAACTTGGATATTTTAACACTAAAATCCCCAATTCTTCTTCCCCCAAATCCATTTTAGAACTCTTATCCCCAATTCTCTCTTCTTTCTCTAAATATCCAACGTTTCTCTCTTCTAAATCAATTGTGTTTTATCAAATGTCGCAAAGTTCAGTGAATATCGAGGAAGTCGATGTATGTAAGTGTGGTTATTATTGTCGACTGAAAACTTCGAGGACTCCATTGAACCCAGGTCGTAGATTTTTTGGATGCAAAGCATCAAAGGTTTGTAATTATTCGAACAAAAACTATTGTTATTGTATTATTTGAAAAATCAACATTTTTGTATATTTATTATTGTTATGTGGTTTGTAGGAAAATGGTGGATGTGGCTATTTTAGATGGATTGATCCGTCACTTGAAAATGTTGATGAATCATCCTTAATGAATAGATTCATAGATGGTCATAATCCGATTGATCGACTAAAGAGAAAAGTGAAAGAGCTTGAAGAAGAAAGGGATTCTTTGAATTTTCAATTGAATGAAAATGAAGAGAAGCTGATGGTATTGAACAAGAAGCTCAAGGAAGTTAAACTCCAAAGGGATTGGGAAAATGTCAAATTTAACCGAGTTGTGATTGTTTTTCTTTGTCTGCTAACTATAAAATGGTTCTTTAATATTGTGTAGTTCATAGTAGTTCAAAATTGTAGTACTTAATTGTTTAGTTTTGCAGTAGTTAGGAGGCTATTTCACGTAATTAGTGTTGTACTTAATTGGTCTGTTAAGTTAATATTTTGTATCAAATTGGAAGTTTGAATGTGAATTGATCGGTGTCTTTTTTGTAACTTCCAGTGTGAATTGATCAGTTTCTCTTTTATAACTTGCCTCTGTTTTCTAACTTGCCATGTGTTCTGAAATTAGTTCTGGGATCGACTTGCCCTGTGTAGTTGTTGTTCAAAAACTGAGCTAATAACACAAATGCATGGCTGGAAAATACATAACACAAAGTCATGGTTGAAAAATACATAAGACAAATGCATTGAGAGGTAATAAAAAACCATTGTCTTGCATGGTTCAAAAATACATAGTCTTGTTAACACAAAGGCATGGTTCAAAAAGACATTACACGAGTGTTCAAAATAAACTAAAGAGTAGCTTGTTGAAGACCCTTTTAACATGGGCCAAAATCATAACAACTTTCCAAATGAACTACTTCCAATTTTTCCTGTTTGCTTTCATTTGATGCAACTGTGCGGTGCCGACTGCATCTTTTCCCTTCCATTTTAGGCCACGAGGTTTAAAGCCAATATCTATATAGGTTGGTGAAGAACTCTTCAATTTTGTTGGCCCATGTAGAATCTTCTCACTTGATGTACCAGGCTATAATATAAGAAAGAAAGTGTAAGATAAGGTAAGATCATAATGTGCCTATCAGAATATACACCAAAATAGAGTAAACGTACATTAAATACTTGGGCTTCAGTTGTAGGATTAGAGTAAACACCAAAACCAGTTGCAGGCCTTCTGTTACCTCCAGTAGCAACAACAAATGAGGCAGAACTGTATGGTCTCTTGTGACCTGATAAAGGTGACAATTGACTAGAAGAACTATCACTTTCAGTAACAAATGGGGTCCCTCTTGCATTAGCTTTTTTTCTTCCTAATCCTCTTCCAGTCCTAACTTGAACCCTATTTTGAGGAGGTCTTGGCACAAATTCTGTGTCAGCACAAATTGAACTTGGTTGACTTGATTGTGTAGTTGCATATGTGGTTCTGAAAGTAGAATGTGATGGACCTCCCATTGTAGACTATATAGCATAAATAAGGATGTATGAATAACTTGTAGATCAACCAGAAAATGTAAATGAATTATTAAATCTAATCTTACTGTTGTTTGAGTAGTTCTTGGCACAACAGTAGTATCAGCACAAACAGAACTTTGTTGACTTGATTGTGTTCTAACCTATTGAACAAAAATAAGTAGATATGAATAACTTATATAATGAAAATTAATGCAAATGAATATGTAAATCAAATCTTACTCCTGTTTGAGAACAACTTTGTTGGCTTGAATTTCCTTGACTTGTAGGTTGAGAAGTGCTCCCCCTCCCATACTGTGTCACCACAAAATAAAATATATGATTATAATATATATAAACTTTAAGTAATTTACAAATGTGAATATGAAGTATTACTTACTTTTGCACACACAGCTTTGTTATGACCAATTTTCTTGCATATAGAACATGTCATCTTTACTCCTTTTCTTGAAAGTTTCTCCCATTTTTTTGGCTCATCCTTACTCTTTCTTCTCTTCTTGCCAGGTCTGCCTGGCATTTTTCTTGGTTTTGAAGGCTCTATTGATGGATTTGTAGTTTCAGGCCACATCCTCATATTGGGAATAGGTTGGATAAAATGGTTGTAAGCCTTGAGAAATGTTTCTTTCTTATACCAGTGCTCTACATGTTGATCAGGATCTTGATTCAAGTAATAATAAACACAAATAACATGAGGGCAAGGAATACCTCTCAACATCCACAACCTACAGTCACAATGTTTCTTCTCCAAGTCAACAACAAATGAATATTCCCCCTCACTAATCTCAAAACCATTCAACCCATTCCATTGAACATTACAATTATTTGAATACTCCTTGTTTCTTTCTAGTATTGCCCTTGCCATAGGTGAAATGTCTGATATCCATGTTTCAGCAAATTTGATCATGTCTATATGTCTGTTCATCATTTTATGCCTAATATCCTCTAACATGTTAATAATTGATTTATGTCTAGCAGCTAAGTCCAGGAATTTAAAGTCTCACACATGTTATTTTCTACAACATCACACTTAGAGTGAGTTTGGAAAAAAGCCCTAGACCAATTTCTGGGATCATAATGTAGCAAGTCCTCGGTTATTTCCTTCTTACCTAGCTTGGACATTGCATGAACTTCTTCTCCAAACTTGACTTCAAAGAAGGCCTTTGAGCATCTCCAAAACTGTTTCCTTCTTTCTTCTCCTTTCTAGTTCACATGCCAGTTACTCCATATATGTCTAGCACACATCCTTTTCTCAACATTTGGTAACAACTCTTACAAGACAAGAATAAGTCCCTAACAAAAAATATGTACAGAATAAGTAATTGAAGTAGTAAAGATCAAATTAAACTAAAATATAAAAAAATGTATAATCAATACCTTTTGCATATCTGACATTACAGTCAAACCTTCACCAGTTCCCAAGTTTAGATCAACAATTAAATACCTTATGAACCAGCTCCAACTATGTTTTGTTTCTGTATCCACAACTGCCCAGGCAATTAGATACATTTGATTGTTCCCATTCTTTCCAACAACTAATAGCTCACCCTTACAAGCTCCCTTGAGAAAACAACCATCAAATTCAATTGTATTCCTACACCCCTCCAACCATCCTTGCTTAAATGCATGAAAGCACACATAAAAATACACAAAAAGGTTCTTTCCTGGTTCAGTTTCCTTATCAAATTTTACCCAACAGGAGCTTCCAGGATTGGTTTGTTTGATCATATCTGCATAGTCACATAATTTGACAAATTTCACTTTCCAATCACCCATGTCTTCCTTCATAATCCTCTATTTACCCCTGTAACAAAGAGTCTTACCAACATAAAGACCCAATGTCTTTCTAACCAAATCTTGAATTTTCATCCTTATGTATGGTTGAGATACAATTCTGTCCTTAAACTTTCTAGCAATTAATTTTGAATTACACAACTTGTTCCTGTTTAATGGAATACACTTGTGAACAGGATGATAGTTCTTCACAATGAAGTCACCCGAGTCCTTGTCAATGGAAGCATATAACAACCATTTACAATTAGCATTTTTGCACTTCACCCTCACTCTATGTTTTTCATTAGGTCTTAGCTTTATCTGCCTCCTGTACTCTACATCATAATCTGCCACTGTTTTCCTGAACTGATTTGCACCCTCAAAGACCATTCCAAGCTCAAATTTTGAAACTTCACAATCTTCATCATACCTAACTTTTTTGCTTCTCCTTCTAGCAGGTATATCTACTCCCTTAACAGCATCCACACTAGTTGTTCACCACTATCATCACTCCAACAATTAGGCTATCAATATAATCCTCATCTCCACCTAATTTTCCTACATATTTGTCAGTTTTATTCATATTTGTCAATTTTATCCTCAAAGCCTCTATCTATACCACCAGCCTCTCCAACTAGTATTTCTTCAAATTCAGTAGCCTTTTTTCTCTGTTTTTGTTTCTTTTTTCTTGTCTAAAAGCTCTTAACTCCTCATCAATATCTAAACCATCTTCTGAAGGTATATCTAGATCTGAATCACTACTCAAGAAATCAGATTCACCTTCTCCACCTAGGTTATCATCCACACCCTATCCACCTAGGTTGTCATCCACATCCTCTTCACCAATGTTAACATCAACACCCTCACTACCAAGGTTAACAACCTCACCTTCTCCACTTAGGTCAACAACCTCACCTTCTCCACCTAAGTTAACAGCCTCACCCTCTTCACCAAGGTCAACATCAACACCTTCACCACCAACATTAGTTAGATAGCCTCTAGGTCCCTCAGTGTCAAGTAAGGGTTCATCTAATACATGACAGACAAATACTTCAAAAGTGTCCTCATGTTTTAAGTCTTTAATTAGGTGTAGGAGATGTTGGTCAGTTGTAATTAGGACCCATTTTTTATTCAATAAATCCTTCACATAAAAGCCTCCAACAGTTTCATACCCCAATTCTTTAGTATAATACAATAGTTTCAAAATGGAAAAGTGGTCCTTAATAATATACCTGAGTGCAGGCACACAGTTTCCAACATAAGTAGGGACAAATATCTCAGATAAGATTCCACCATGGTAAATCTTTGTAAATATAATCTCCTCCATGGTCAATTGTTAGCCCTACAAAATATCAAACAAACCCTAGCTTAAGATAACAAAATATACTCATATAACCCATACAACAACTAAAAAACAAAGCTTTAAAGCATATTTTCTGGGTAATAGTAAAGAAGGGACAGAATATTCGCAAAAATCACAAACCCTATATTTTACAAAACCCTAGCCTTTTGGAATTCATTTACCAAAGCATGTAAAAATCATTAACAATCCTAACTTACACAAGGAAATCTTCAAGATTGTAACACGAACAAGACGAATCCAACTTCAATCTGGAGGAAATCGCGAAGATGGAGAGCTTCAATTTGGAAGAAATCGCGAAGAGAGAGAGAGAGAAGTGTTCTGTCAATTTTAACGATTTAGGAATCTTCCCCAATTAAGACATTTACAAATACACGTCGGATACACGTGGTAGTTGTTAAATGGTCATTCTATACACGTCGGATACACGTGGGGAGCTTAAATACACGCGCCACACAACTTATTAAAAGTGATAAAAAAATGCTTAGACGGTTCAAATCTGGGGTGGTAGAGGTGTTCAATAGGTACTAGGTGTAGTTGAGGTGTCTAAATGAATAATGAGGACAACTTTGAGGGGCCGGAGATGACTTTGGCCAAAAAATATTGATTGCTATAATGAGTTTACCATTTTACCCCTATTAATAGGATTCTAAATATCTTTACTACTATTAATTTGATATTTATAAATTAAGGGTATAATAATTAAAAAAAATGATTTTTTTTTAATTTATCAAAAATAACAAAGAAAAATGATAAGTAAAAAGCGACGCGAAAATACATTACTTGCATCAGACGAATATAAGCAATATATGGGTGAGTTGTAAGAAAGAAAAATTAGTAGTAGTATATATACTACTAATAGTTTAGAAAACCGTCAAAATATGATGTAATTAGTGGGTGCGTCAGCAGAGACATGCCTTTTAGTATCTGTTTTTGTTAGATTAGATAGAAGTAGTAGTAGAAGTAGTAGCAGCAAGTTGAAAACAAAAAAGAATAGCACAGTGATCTAGAACTTGTCAGACGAAATCCTGTAAATTAGCATAGCGTGTAAGGCGGGACTTTTCGAAACTTTCCCCCCTAAAAATATCTCTCCCTCCACCCACAGTTTTTTCACTCTTCTTACCAAAACCCTAACCCCCCCAATACATACTAATCAGGTTTGAGAAAAAAGGATAGGTAGGTACTACTTACTCCTTTTTTTCTTTTGGGGAGCCAAAACGTCGATTTCAGAAAAAAGGGAGGATTGTATTGTAGTTAGTAGTACAAGGGATTTTGAGAAACTGCGATTTGGGTATTATGGAGGAAAGTATTGAAAAGAAGGTAAAGTTTGATTCTTTCGAGGAAACTATTGTGAAGAAGGACGATATTCAGGTAAAGTTTCAATCTTTGGAGGAAACTACTGTTGAGAAGAAGGGGGATATTCAGGTAAAGTTTCAATCTTTGGAGGATCTTAAAGTAGAAGAAGAGATGGTTTTGACTGAGGTTGTTAAACCAAAAAAGAAAAGGGGGAGACCACCAAACAAAAATAAGGGAAAACAAAAATTGGAGGAATCTGCAGGAAAAGAGACTTGTATTAAGAAAAGCAGGAATCTTGGTAGGAAAAAGAATGATGTCAATGAAAAAAAAGACGAAATTGATAGCAAGAGAGAAGAGGAAAAGATTGATTCTGATACAGTGAGTACTACTCATAGGCCAATGAGGTCGTCATGTAAAAAAGCTATTGAGAAGTTAAGTGAATATACTCAACAAATGAATGAATGGGATGCAGAAGACCGTAGTACTAGTAAGAAAAGAAGGGGTCAAGGCAGGAAGAGTGGCGTGAAAACAGAAGAAGAGAATGTTGATAGTGGTGAGAAAATTGCAAGTAAAAAACGTGGAATAATGAGTTCGAAAGAGAATGGTGGAGATTCTGATACTAGAGAGGAGGAGGGTAATGGGAGTAAAAAACATAGGGCTGAGGAAGAAGACAAAGTCGAAGGATCAGAACCTGGAAGGCAAAGCAAAGATAATGCATCAAATCCCCGTGCTAGAAAGAGGAAGGATGAGAATGTAAAAAAATCTTGCTTTATTTGAAAATTTTATCATTTAATTTGTTCTTTACTAACCCCAAACGATCTTCATTCTGAAATTCAAAACATGGGCAGGGTAATGAGATTGTATCAAATATGTGTCATCAGTGCCAGAGGAATGACAAAGGAAGGGTTGTTCGCTGCACCAGCTGTAAAACAAAGCGATACTGCATTCCTTGCATAACCACATGGTACTGGAAACTTTTACTTGGTTGTGTTTGTTTGTCCGAATAACTTATATGAGATTTTAATTGTAAGTTGGACTTGTAAAGACATAATACTCTGCTTCTTGTGGCTTTATTTGAGCAGTTTGTCTCTTGATGATATGTTTATATTGTCACAACTGATATGATGCAAAGCATGATGAACATTTTAACAACTCGAAGCATTATATGTTCAATCAATTTTGTTTAATATTGTCAACTTCAACACAAGTTATCATTCAATCATGTAGTTTTTCTCATGAGTGCATTTCCCTTTATGATCAATAATAGGTACCCTGGAATGCCCGAGGAAGCTTTTGCAGAGTCTTGTCCTGTTTGTCGCAAAAACTGTAATTGCAAAGCATGCTTGCGTTTGGATGGGCCAATAAGGGTTGAATTCTTTTGCTGTCCCACTATAATTAAGTTACAGTCTTATTTTGCAAGTTATCACTATGCGATATGCTCTTATGTTAAATCTTTTTGCAGGCTTTGAAGGACTCACAATGTGAGATAAGCGAAGAAGAGAAGTTTGAATATTCTAAATACATTTTGCAAAAACTTTTGCCTTTCCTGAGAAGATTTAGTACAGAGCAAGTGATGGAGAAGGATATTGAAGCTAAGATTCAAGGTTCTATTATCTTGTTTAGAATTAATGCCACAACAATTGTTTATATTTTTCAGTTGATAGGCCATATTTTTTTCATGTGGGCAACTGTAAGTGTGCATTTTAAAATCTGGTTAGGTAATATCTATTGCACAGTTAGAAAAGATAACAACATAGCCATTTTCCATATATCTGCAGTGTTGAGTTTGAATTGTCAAACAGGGAATGTGTTAATGTACTTGCTATTTCCCAGATAAGAAAACATAGTTTCAAGTAGTAGGTAGGGAGATACTAGCTTCTTCCAGGAAAAACTGTATGCCTAATGCATCTTCACTTGCTACCTGTTGTAACTAGAATTTCTTTTACATCTGGGCAGGGTTATCAGTGTCAGAGTTAGAGCTGAAGAAGGCGAAGTGTCAGAAGAATGAGAGAATGTACTGGTGAGCATGAAGAGCCTCTTCTTTCCATGCCAGTCCTGTAGAATGATGTTCAAATTAGCTAAATTGGGCAATCTTTTGTGCAGCAACAACTGCAAAACATCCATTTTTGATTTTCACAGGAACTGTTCTAGCTGTTCCTATGATCTATGCCTTACTTGTTGCCGGGAGCTTAGAGATGGTCACCTTAAGGGAGGCGATGAAGAAGTCATCATGGAATTCGTTGACAAGGGGATTGGTTATTTGCATGGTGATGTGAGGTGTGGTTCTTTATCAGATACCCGAACTTCAAGTAGGTCTAAATCTTCCAAGAAGATGATTGAAAATGATTCGGTGGATGATGCCAGGTTTGCATTTGAAATGGAGCCTGGGGATAATGGAGGGCATCTGCAAGATAATTCTGGTGGTCCTACTGGTGAATGGAAATCCAATGAAGATGGTAGAATCCCTTGTCCACCACAGAAGTTTGGTGGTTGTGGTAAGGGAATTTTAGATCTGAAGTGCCTGCTGAACAAGACAGAAGGTCTCTCTGAGTTGTTGGCAAGAGCTGAAGATATTGCCAAAATATTTGAATTGGAACGCATGCCTGAAATTTCTCAGGGACCATGCTGCTGTAGGAATTCAGTAAATGAAAATGATATCCAGAAAAGCAAAATGTGTAAAACAGTATCTCATGATGGGTGTGATGAGAACTATTTATACTGTCCAGCAGCTAAA